ATAGTCCGAAGGTTCATTGGTCCGAATGTTCACTATAGAACCTTCGGACCAATGAACCCTTGATTAAAAAATCGATAAAAATGTTACCACTTTTCGGACCAATGAACCTTCGGACCAATGAACCTTCGGACTATCGAGACGCCCCCACACTGGCATGTCTTCAATATTCTTTCTTCTCTCTCTCTCTCTCTCTCTCTCTCTCTCTCTCTCTCAGCCTTCGCCACTGGCACAATAACTGGACCTTCAATCCACAGGCATGTAGTCAGCAATTTCAAAAAGAGGGCTCTTTCTCTGTAAAAAGTGATGCGATTCACCCCCTCAGTCAACTCTAACTGAGAAAGGGCATAGAAACTAGATTAAATTTTGAGTCAGTGAGGACTTTTCCGGCCAAAATCGAGGTTCATTTGACCACCCTGGCCTCCAGTTTGGCCGGAAAAGAACGGGCTGCCATCATGCAAACGCCATGATCGGGTAAACTGAACAATCAATACCCGAAAACAAACAGTGCAATGGCTGTGTTCTGAGGCACTGATGGTGTAATTTACATCTGTATCTTCATACATATATAAACAATTGTACGCGTAACTTACACGAAACACTGTCATCAGTAGAGTTCAGTGCTGAATATCGCTCTAAGTGTCTCCAGTCATCAGTTGCTGGACCAACTCATTTACTGATTTAAATCACTGATATTACCAACGTCAAGGTCTGGTGGCCGTAGTTTAGAAACAATGCGGTATTTCCTGGTCACTCTGTGTGTTATTCTGGTGTTACTGACGCGTGACGCGTTCTCTCAGACTACTTCCCCTACAACCTCTGGCACCGCAGGGAACACCACAGAGGGCACCACTTCTGGTGCTACTGGGGGTACCACTCCCTCCGCTACCACAGACGCTGCAGGTACAGGGGGTACCACTCCCTCCGCTACCACAGACGCTGCTGGTGCAGGGGGCACCACTCCCTCCGCTACCACAGACGCTGCTGATGCAGGGGGCACCACTCCCTCCGCTACCACAGACGCTGCTGGTGCAGGGGGCACCACTCCCTCCGCTACCACAGACGCTGCTGGTACAGGGGGCACCACTCCCTCCGCTACCACTGACGCTGCTGGCACAGGGGGCACCACGCCTGGCTACACAGGTGGCACCACGCCTGCGCCAAGCGAAAACACCACTGCGGCACCCGCCCCTACCACCACCCAACAGTCAGATGAGGCCGCTATGAGGGACGTCCAGCGTAAGATAGCCTACACACAGTTTATGATCGGCAAGATGGACGAACTCATGATAAAGTATTGCCCTTCGTATCCCCCAACCTACGTTCCCGAGGCCACGTACAATATAACCAGACGCCGGCGCCAAGAAGAAGCAGACGACAGACAGATTGAAAAACTGAAGTTGATGCAATATCTTTTCAAGTGTCTGTTGGATGATTTGATAGACAAGTACTTGGATTGCAAACTTTCGCCGTAAGTACTGTAGTAAATTCTGTGTTCCTGTTTACACGGAGCGTTCTACTTTAATCTTTAGTCTGTACCGATATACTTTGTCAGGTCCTAACATTTAACATGTCCTAAAATTTAATTACACGAAAGGGGCTTTGCTCCCCTTCACAGTTTTGGATAATTTCTGCTGTCTGGGCTTAAGTAGATTTATATATGCCGCGTCGATCGCAGGGGGGGGGGGGGGTCCGTCAAGGTGACTTTCTTCTCTTACAACCAGGCTATATTAATATTTAAAAGTCGTCTATCTTTCAAAGTGTACCGGTACAGACTACACGTGTAATATAAAGTATACCGCTCGGTTTGAGGAGGGTTCTTATCTTAACAGAGTGTCAATAGCATCTTAACAGAGTGTCAATAGCATCTTAACAGAGTGGCGATAGCAGTGTACTGCAGACCATTCAGGATATTAAATCAACTATTTCAGTTTTCGAAATCTCAATAATCAACAGTTTAACCAAGAGGCATAACTGCAGCGAATGGTAATTTTGATTCTGTTTTCAAAGCAAAGAGTGGTTATGTTCTATATCAACGTAGAGTAACTTGCTGCATCTTAATCGCAAGAATTTAATTAGGTGTTTATGTACTATCAATGATGGGGGGTATTTGTATGAATGATCGCACACAAATATCCTTCATCTCGATGCCCTACTCTTATATTCTACCTTTAAAGTGGGGCGGAGTGTATTCTGACTCCTCCACTGTACGTGTCTATAGTTCAGACACACATATCCCAGTGTTTTTGTAATGCTTTTGAAAAAATATATACATCTTAACATTTATCACAAATCGTCAGATTTTCAAAAAAAAAAAAAAAAAAAAAAAACTCCCCAAACGTTAACATTTCTAGAATTGCGTCACAAATCAATGCTTACATATGTGACGTATAAATAATTCATTCCGGACGGCGGCATCGGTGAATCTTTCCACTGTATGTCTTCAGTGAGGGTGTTTCTCGTCCACAGGCCTGGCTACGTCATTGAATACTCCGCCCCCGCCTGCCTGCTGCCCGCTGAAGTCACGACCACGCCCGCTGGTCACGGGGGTGTGGAGTGTGCACGCTTAACTCACGTTCTCTGCCTGGCCTCCATCTTGGCATGTCTGCTGGTATCGTGACTAGAATTTTAAAAGAGACCTTAACACCGTTTGCACTAAGTGACCCACAGAGAAGATTCCAGGATTCGGCACACGCCCAAAGACAGTTAAAACCACCACAATACTACATGTATAATTGTCGACAAACACGGTCAAATGGATGCTATGCTTCTTACATCTTTCACTCCACAAGGGTTTGAACAGACGCTTCATTGTAAACTGACATTTTCGTTCTCTTTCAGGCCTGCAGCGGTCCCTCAAAAGTAACAGATGACGTCATCACGCCGCAGCACCACACGGATGCGTTCTGTACATGGACATTTTAATGACTCTTCAGTTAGCTGCGGTGTTGAATATAAACAAGTATTTAAATTAGCCACTTTTGCTTTCATTCAGAAAAATGCAGACTGGTGAAAACTATCGTTTATTTTAGCTGGAAAATTTTCTGGTGGGCAAAACGCCTCATCCGATATTCTGTATTTGGATAAAAACTGTGCCTTCTATGCTGGTCGTCTTATTATTTGTTTTAAACCTTCAAGATATATATGTTTGCTTTATCTTTGCGCCCTTGGATCATAGGGATATTACTAAATAACAGTTGACAAAATCAGAAACACGGACAAAGCTGGTGGTCCAGTATCTCTCAAAGGAAAGAATGAATTCGGTGAAAATCCGTAAGAACACGCCCCGTCTTATGCTACAGTTCCACCTTGGTCTGCTAAATCTTGGATACTTTCGACACCCCTTTTCTTTTATTTCAACCATTGAATTCTTAAATACAGGAAGCTGGACGCTAAGGAGAATTTCCTATCCCCGTCGCAAAATTTTCTGAATGATTAGAATAAAGGCATTCTTAATATAACAATAAACATATAAAGCAAATAGACCATTTGAATTACTAAAGCTGGATTCAACAATTTTACTTGTATTCAAATTTAAAGTTTGATTGCATAGCGCACCCAGTATGGAAGTACGTCATACTATATGAACCTTTTACTGCATTCAACGGTTATTCTTAAGCAGGTTTTCTCCTTTTTTTCAGACATCGTGTCAATGCTTTTATTTAAAAAGAAAAATATTCACCCTTTGTTTATTTACACTTTTTTACGACCTCAAACCCCCACCTCCACCCCCACCCCGCTGTTCTTCGATATCCACTTCCAGGGCCACAGATTGAATTTTCACTAGTCTAGATATTCACAGATATGCCTGTGGCTAATAATGTGCACTTTTTGTGCCCTCATAATTGTGGTATAAAAGGCCGGAGACATGTATGTGAATATTTAGTCAAAAATCCATCTGCGGCACTGGTGTAGGGTACCCTGCTCGGGGCTCTGCTAGGATAACTCACATAAGATCATATAATTCAGTTGTCAGTAGTGAACTACTTCCTGGTTTTCACAAGGTCCTTCACTTCCTGCAAAATCCTGTCTCCTCCGGTACCCTCTATTACAAGGTCTAAAACCTCTTCCTCCTTCTGTCACAGCTATCGCATTGGAGTAAGTATTACCAAAGACGATTTCATCAGGGCGCGGTTGCACCACAGGGCCATAAATTTGTACCGCCACAACTGTCGTAAACGGCAACGCCTGGCATCCGTGCGCCAGTTACTCAAGATCGTCCGGAAAGGCAGAATTTCTAATGGCCTATAATGAGGAAGTAATAAAACACGCTAACATAAGGAAACGCGCTAACATACCAAGCGTTGACGCTTTGCGGACCTTCACTGGACAGGTCAAGTTATTGGTCAGGAAACATACATTGGATTTTATACCAACATCCTGGGCAGTGTCGCCTACATTTCAATTGGTGCTGAAACCCGGTTTCTTTTCTGTCCAACACATATTAAAACGGGACGAAAAACGGAGACTTAACTTAGAAAATGTTTATTCCTTCAACAATCCAAAAATGACTGAATCATATGCTCATAAGTTAATAATTTATAAAACGCAGCATCATTCAGCTAAATGTTGAACCAGTTAGTGAAAAATTTATGAGAATTAACAACCACTAAATATATGTAATAATGGATTAGTCAGTTCTGAGAGCCTGTCAACGTGAAGATATTTCAAACTGAATAAATTATAATAATTTATAAGAAATAGTGATACAGATATTCACCTTTTATTAAAAAAAAAACACTGTGACACTTTCAATTTAGCTTCAAACACAGTGTTCAAGCAATAGCGTTTTTACAGTTATTTTAAATGTCCACCATAGAGCTATGTAGGTGCAAACAGCAACAGAACTTTTTTGCCAAAGAAGATATGTTTTGGCCACAGGTGTTGACAATGTGTTATCAAGTAAAAATTGTTTTAAAATAAATAATGTGAAATGTGGTGTCTTTGTTTCATCAGTCAAATCATGACAAATCTATCCAGAGAGTATTTACAAAAACAAATTCCTTCTGAATTCAGAGCAGATATTTCCAAAAAATATTCTCTTGAAAACTCTGTGGACATTAGCAAAACAGAAAAAGCAAAATTTAAAACAATATAACACATAATTCATTGTTTCCTTCAGCAGTCAAATAACTAAGTAAATGTTTTTAAAATCTTCTCCCCAATTTTTCTTTCCAATATATGAACTGTCAAATAAATGTAACATTCTGTTAGGTCTCACAGAGGCCAAACTTTCAGAGGTCACATCAAGGTCACACTCTCTGATGGGTCAGGTCAAGGACAAATTGAGGTCACATTAAGGTCACAGTCTCTGATGGGTCAGGTCAAGGTCAAGTTATAAAGCCACTTTCCCAACCTCAATGGATTATTTGACCTACTGCTGAACTTAAAAAAAGAGTGCACTGATGAGGGGTATAATGTTCCTGGACAATTTAACAAGTGTTTTGTCAATGTTTTAGAGCCTGTCTTGATGAAAGATCCATCTTTTGCAGGTGTGGTCAAAACTGTGGGTGATCCACTGCTGCTCCAGTATCTTGTACCTCTCATTACTCAGATACAGGGGTTTGCCTCGCCTAAAAATTGAAAGTGGAAGTAGTGAAAGGGATATTGGATCTAATTCTATAATTGCTTTATACATTATAGTTTATGCAGTGATGACTTCCACAACAATTGTTTCTTCAACACCATATTTTAAAATAAATTCTCAGCTTTTTGAAAGAAACTTAATATTCTGGTCAAAAAACAAAGTTCCAGAATAAAATTTCTCTACCCTTTGGATTAAACAAAATATTCCGTTTACAAACAAAAAGTTAAAATGGAATTTCTCAGCCCCTTGGAAGTAAATGAGTATTCTTGTTACGATCAAAGTTCTAGAATGATGGCAGCCATACTTGAGTTCTCTGTCCTCCTCCCCATACTCGTCCAGGTAGACTGACCCCCAGAGGGTGGCGCGGGGACCTCGTACCACCACTATTACTGAGGAGTTCACAGACAGGAACAGCCCCGTACCAGCACCACAGTGGATAGAATGCTGGAAATAAATGAATAAATAAATAAATAAATAAATAAATAAATAAATAAATAAATAAAATTCAGGGCTTAAACTGCCATTTAGTGAAAAAGTTGGAAAATATGGAGTAAAGTCCAGGGGGCTGCCTAGGCCAATGATATCTCTGGCTCCTAAAAAGTCAGAAAATCATGGGTAATGGGGAAATTCTCATAACTGAAAATTACATTTATGCATCTGATTTTGCCTATGTTGCTCTTTTCATCAGTTACTTATTAATTCTGTTTTTCTTTATTATTGAAATACCATACATCTATCAATGGTTAAAAAATAATTGCCAAATACATATCCTGAATTTAGCTCTCGAATATTACAGCAGTTGAAAAACAAATTAAACAAGCCCCATATGTTCAGACTGAGTATTTCCATAAACAAATGACATTATAAATCACCACAGTATCCAGCAACCACCTCAGTGCAGGGGAGGATCCAAAGATATTTTCTGACAGTCTTCCAAATCATCTTTGTTCATCCATCCTCCATATTTGACTGTCTTCCAACAGAAAAAATAGATACCCATCAATATAAACTTGAAAAATCTGACCGTCTTCTGGAAGACCCAGAAGATGTTCTTAATCTGCTCCTGCAGGGCCCCTTACCTGTACACACTCATGGATCTGATCCTGTCTACAGCAGCTCTCCTTGAAACATAAAAACTGGCCACAGATAAGACAGACGGCTGGTTCCTTGGGGACCCTGGTACAGGTGTGGCAAGGTTTCTTCCTGTAATACTGGAAGATCTTGTCGTACTCCCTGGGGAGGGACAGCAGGCGGGGGGAGAACCAGGTGGGGTTCACCAGGAGAAAGTACTGCAGGAGAAAAGAGAAATTACTGAAATTATGTTGTCAACATGACTTATGAACTATTAAATAAGTAAAGAAAATGTATGAACAAAAGCTTCTGAAGATCCTTAAAAGAAAACTTCTATTAAACAAACACACATACATGCAATCCATGGCATAAAACCTGATGTTAGTCAATCACTGAAGCTCTAACCCCTCTTTTTAGTTGCCTGTGACATTTTACACAACACTGCTCACAACCACCACTTACCCTCCCTACACAGGGCTCAGTGTTCACAACCATCACTTACCCTCCCTACACAAGGCTCAGTGTTCACAACCATCACTTACCCTCCCTACACAGGGTTCAGTGCTCACAAAGTCATTGAAGGCTCGGCACCAGCCTCTGAGCAGGCTGCGAGGGTTCTCACAATACCACTTCAGGGCTGACGTAGTCACAAAACGGCTGCCACAAGATGGCGTGCGTGGAGTTTCTCCGTGGACAAGACCAAGGAACTGGCAGAGTGCTTGGTATTCATTGTCAGAGTCCTAGAGATGGATTAAAAATTTTTACATCCTGTATCTTTTGATAAAGTTATTTATCAATATTTTGAAATTGCTTTCTGAATCTACTCAGCTGAAGGTAATTATATAAAATTTTTTTTATTCAGCCTGGGTCTCTATTTCACAGAAGCCAACCTCAAAATGTCTTTGAGGCACTTTTTAACTAAAATAAAACTTTGTAAACTTACAATTCTGTGAGGAAGCTTGTCATGGAATAGATGGCACTGCAGTAGGGCAGCCAGTCGGAGGAAGGGGAAACAGAAATCCTGCACTGAACTCTCCACAGTCTGAGGGGACCACACGCTTTGACAGATCTGGAAACATATGCCACAAGAGGTGAACATTTAAAAGAAATTTATGCAGTAAACTTGGCCTGAAGAACAAACATGAGCTACCTTTCTCCATACTTTTTTACCCTTCCTGATTTTTCATTAGGATATAATTATTGATCAGACATGTGACTGGGACATGTACAGAATGGGAATCATTGTGGAATAACTACAAACTGAGATAATGTCACCATGGCATGAAAAAATTATTTGATGTGCAAATTTTCACAGGCCTCACCCATTGTGAAATATATGTATTACATTGCAAAAATGATATTAAATTCTCACAAATATTTAATTTTACTGAACACCTTTCTGTAACAGTGAGCATATCCTGTATTAGACTTCTAAAAGAAGTGC